TAGCTTGAATTGCTTAGCTTGTGGTTGCATTGTATTGAATATAAAAACAGCATTTACATCAAAGGAAAGATGACACAATAAATGGGGAATATTACAATATCAGTAAGTATCCCATATATTAAGGGATGATGAATATTCAATCAATCACCTATGATCATGGGTCAATGATTTGCTTAATATGAGCAATGCTATCATGGAGCAAATCTAGACATTCCAAATTTATGGTGTCGTAACACTTTCTCTTTCTAATCTACCTTTTTTTTCCAAGAAATATATCTCCAGCTTTTATCTATCTAATTTTTTTCTTATTTTTTTTTACTATAACTTTTATTTCTCTTTTTATTTATTTGTATTCTCTAACAAATATATTTCAAACTTTTTTTTTATTTAAATATCTTTTCTTATTATAATTTTCCTTTCTCTTTCTTTAACAACTTATATTTTGCTCTCAACTCTAGTATCTTTACAGTTTTTTTTTTGTTCTTTGACTTTTTTCTTACTAAATTTTTCTGACTTTTTTTCTCTAAATCTTTTTATACTTATCTCTCTAAAATTTCTCTTTAAAAGGTTTCTTTTATCTCTCCAAATTTTTATTTTCATGTCTCTACTTTAGGGATAGATACAGTTTCTTTTATCTCTCCAAACTTTTATTTTCATGTCTCGGATGACACAAATTCCTACAGGATCGGGTCCTGCTTAAAAAACGTGGAATACATTTCCCAATTCCCACTATATATCTGGACCCCGTCTCTTATCCTATTTTTAAAATAATTAATACACGTTTCATTAACTGTTTTACTAAATTATGAATAAAATATTGAATATTTTTTTAAATATTTATATATACCAGTAAATAATAAATTTTTAGTAAAATAGATATAAATTATGTATATTTATTGCTCTTTTTTAATGCTAAAATTAATTATTAAACCAATAATTTTTCCCGCAAAGATCCTCGTCCCCAAATGAAGATTCCTCAACCTCGATGTCAATTCTTAAAATCGGAGAATAAGTTATGCAAGGACGAGGATGGGAGAGGGCATTCCCGACTCCCACCCCACTACGTTGTCATTTTATACTCTACCTAGATGCTTCTCTTTTTAAAAATAGAAAACAAAAAATAGTTAGGGCAGGAGAGATTCAAGCTTATTACTTCATGGTTAGAGACATGTATCAATTTTTGTAGAGCTATGCTCGGTAGATCAATAATTAATGTTAAAAGGGTCCTAAATACAATTTTTTTTTTTGAAATTATAGTAATTTCATTAAATAGTTTTTAAAAAATGTATCCATTGTCATCCATATCTAATATAAAGAAAAAAAATCAAATTTAAAGAAAAAATCAAATTATAGCCTGATGGCATAATGATATTATAATTAAATCATATATGCACAAAGTACATAATGGCATAATGATATTGTAACTAGTTGGTGTAATATGTGACAAATATTTGGATAGAGTAGACATGTCATGTTAGTGTGTTTCATCAATGATATTAACAATATAGGCCAAATATAAACATATAATATGAAATTCAAGGACGTCTCGAAACTTTTTAAAATCTATTAGGAGCCACATCAACATAACAATTAAAATACTCGACTAAATTTATAATTTAACTAATTTCTCGAAAGCTTACTAACCAATAAATTTAATCTTTTTATTGATTAAATAACCGACATTTTTTCGTTCAACAATATGGATATTATAATGATTGGACCATCTAATGAGAACAATTGTATAATACTTTAGTAAGTTAGTTGTGTTGTACAACTCAGCTAATAAAACTCTTCTACACGAGTCATGCTCAAGTCAGATGTTGGACAACATTAAACGACATTTCCCGTAGCAGGAGAAGAAAGGTTGGTGAGGTCTAAGGTATAACACCTCATACTCCAATATCGACGAATCATACTTCACAACCTCTCCTGGACTCCGACCTAAGTCAAGGTCAGAGTCGAGGTATCATATGTAATCGCTCATAACTGCTACAAATTTCGTGGTTTTGTTGATCGAGTGGGTCCCACCCACCAACTTCAATAAAATAGAGAGACAAATCATTCACACATGTACATGCATTTTATTGCTCCTCTCGAGACAATCTAATTCCTACTAACTCGAGCATTTGAGCTTTTTTGGTTCTCTTTGAACTTCTTACAACCTCACTTTCTAAGTGTTGAGGTTGCAATAAATGCAAATAAAGTCCTACATTGATTAGAGAAATAAGTGATCCAGAACATGTAAATGAGAATAATTATCTCCATTAATATGAGACATTTTAGATAAAACAAAAAAGAAAGAACAACCAAATGTTTCTCTTCATCTCGACAATTGTTGCGTAATTGAATTTTTGTTTGAAAATTTAAGAAAGGGGAGACGTACAAAACTTTTCTAGATATATACTTCATTTTATTAAGGTCAGAAATTCAAATTCCTATTACCCCATATTTGTCGTACTCTCGTGCTTTGATTAAAGTTTTCCAAATAATTATAATTATTTGATGAAGGCTAGCAACACTCGATTAAAAACAAAATTCTAAGTATATGATATTCTTTTGATTTTACAAGTGGGCATAATTCTCACAAATGTCAAATCGAATAATATCTTTCTTGCATTGCGCCAAAGTAAGTACTTGCTGTTTTGGAATGTGGGTTCATTGAGGAGACGACTAACGAATTGCACCAAACCTAAGGGTGGTAAATTCTCAAGCCCATAGTTTTGAAACCAAAAAAAGAAAAACATATATATATATATATATATAGACACCAAACATCGGTCTCCCAATAATAATATGACATTGTTTCTCTAATTTAGGTATAAGTTTACGTCATTTCGCTGTCAATTCGAGTGCAGTTTAGTTTAGTGAATAAAACACCTAGTATTATTGTTATGATGATTCAATCTCTTATTTCTCAATGTTGGATTAACTGAAAAAAAGTTAAAGATGTTGTTCCTATTATTATAATAACAATTTATTCTATTTCTAATTGATGTGAGATTATCAATTTGAATTCTCACTTCGACAGTACATTTTAACTAAAAACATTATGTGAGATTATGTTCATATATCCCCGAACAATTCTCCACTCGAATAAAGGATTTTCAAACTTCCCATAAAATAGTCACTCATCAAATCTCAAAGCATATGGCCTCTATCATGGACCACATTCTGAGATAACTAGGGATATCATCGACAATTTCACATTATATTACTTGTTAGAATAACAATATTTTTTTATCTCTATCTCTGTAATAATACGATAGTGTCTACTTTTGACATAATCTTACGTGATTTTATAGTTGGTTTCACTCAAGAGACCTTATACCAATGAAGATGAAGGCTTAGCACTTCGATGTTAGCTCTTTGCCACTTGGGTTGTAGTATGTTTCAAGGATTTGGCTGTTTGCCCATTAAAGCAGTACGTGAGTTTGGTTCAGAACGTCATGAGACACTTTGGTCCATATTTAGTGTGGGCATTAGAGCAATGGGAGAACCTTTCCCTAGTATGAAAGGACCCAGCAACGGATGTACCTCTAGTGTACTAGTTACCATGCCTGCGATGAATGCTAGGTAGCCAAATGGAGAGCGGATAACAGCTGAAAGCAATTAAGTAGTAAGTTCACTCCAAGATGAGCACTCTCCTATTTCGACTTCCCTAAAGCCTCTGGTGTAGTGTGGTTGTAGTTATTTTAAACCAAAATTAATCTTCTCCCCTCCTAACAAATATAGGACTATATAGCTCTCGATTATTTCTCTAATTCATTAATTTTTGGTGGTTCATAGGAGAATATAACAAGATAAGATAAGAGATGATACGAGTAATATCCTACGTATAAAATAATGACAAAATCAACTGTGAATCTAACTCAGAGAGGGCAACTACTTATGTGATTATTTTATAGATACTTGATGTAAGGATAAAAGTTTCAATGAAATTAGACATTTAAGGTATATAAAAAGTAAAAGCACGTGAACTTAGGTTCAAATAGATAATATTATGCTATTATATAGAAAGTCTCAAAATCCTTATAATTAATCTAAAAAAACAAATTCACAGGAAATCAAACCTCCTCTGCGACTAGCGTCGGGTGGAGAATGTTCGAGATACTCAATTCGGCATATTTTGACCCATTCAAGCTGAAAAAATGGGTTTCCCCATCAGCACAATTAGGATAAAGCTACAGAATTTAAAATTAAGTCTTCATATTATAGCACAGTATGTGCCATGCTCGATCATAACCTTCACTTTAAGATGTTTGTTACAAGGAGAATGGCCGTAGACTTGTAGTGGAATTCAATAATAGACTTCACATTAACAATATTTTAATCTTTTACCAAAAATACAGAGATTTTTCTAATAAAAATGTATAATCTGGATAGCAAATTTAAAACTTATTCCAGAATCAAGGACTTGAAAATAATTAGAGGAAAGAAAAAACTGTTCCAGCTTTTCATATAAATAAACAATGAACAATCGAATCAATATCACTTCACTATGCTCCATGAACAAACAGACAGCAACAAAAATGTTTGCTAAAAAGGAGAAATGGGCAGCTGAAAGTGCCCTTTGAGCTTCATAACTACAGTGATGGTAAGTCTATTCTTACAAAGGATTCTTAAGCAGTTGCAGCCACTTCAGTTTTGCTCTTCTCTTCCTTCAGTTTCTTCCAATTTTCCGCACTGTCAATTATTTCGCCAGTTTTAATGAGATAGCGTACTCGTTGTCCACTTTCAAGGGTTTTGTGACCGACCCGGCTCGCTACATTTTGTTCTTTTGAGTAAAGCATCACGTTCGAGCTATGGATGGGCGCCTCAATCTGAAATGTCAGAACCGAAATGAAATTAGACCATGAGGTGAAACTAATCTGTTGAACATGAGACTATGAAGAAGTAATCAAATAAAGAATCAATCCAGTTCATACAAATGAGAGTCACTTCTTGACACATAAATGTGGGCAGTTTTCTGGTTGAAGACTAAACTTACCATTGCTAAATTTTCTTTTTGTATAGACATCAGTTGATGATTTGTAATATTGTATTGATTACAAAGAAGAAAAACAAACCTTGATAATCTGTCCTTTTTCTTCCTCTTCTCTGCTCTTTACATGCTTTGTCTTCAAATTTATTTCTTTCACTATCACTTTGCTATTATGTTTAAAAATTTTTGTGATTTCTCCAATTTTTCCCTTATCACGGCCAGCAATAACTTTCACCGTGTCTCCAACCTTGACATGCATTTTGTGTAATACCGGAAGGCTGTTTGGCTTGCATTCCTTCCGTTCCCATCTTTTTAGCTGCCAATAAGGTGAAAACAAATGAAAAGAGAAGTAAATAAATCGGAAAAAGTGTATAATTTCCAATATTACCATTACAAATTAGATCTCAAGCCAAAGCGAAATCAAAGAACAGAAACACCGAATATATCATTGATTCATTATAAACTTTTAGTTCTGTGGCAGAGTTAATTTGGAAGAGAAAAGATTCTGATGAACATTACTGGAAAGAACAACTTGCATTAAGAACAATTATAAGAACACTATAAAGCTTTACCATTGATACTTCAATTGGTTTGAAGTGACTTTTAGAAGCAGTAGTTTTAAGTGAAACAATTTCTCTATTAAGATTTCTAGAAAAAAGAATACTATTTAAGAAATGTATGGGAGTGTTTTTAACTCTGAAAAAGTGCTTTTAAATGGTGAAAAATACTTCCTATCTCAAAGGTTTATGTCCGGCTACAATATAGAAGCACTTTTCAGAAAAAGTTGAATGCACTTTGAAGAACTTTTCAAACAAGCAATCGATATTGCTTCAATTGCATTGAATATCTTCTTAATTAACATCTTAAAAGGAAAATTGCTTACAGTTGCATTGAATGATGATCATCAAAAACGATTTGTCACTTGTAAATATGGAAGGATCACAATACATTATCAATATCAGAAGCAAAAGTAGCAACAAGTATCTTATTTTCTCAGCAACTCAACCATCAAGCTTATTCCTGTTTCACCTCTTTTCTTTTTTCCCACATATACTCTTTGTAGTAAATAATTGATCTTCCCTTAAATAACAAGTTGAAGGATGATGAAATCATGAAAAGACAAAAAATACCAACCCTCATTACTATGAGACATGGCTTCTCTTTTGACGTTACCTGCATGTTAAACAAGAGATACTTAGATATAAAATACTCTGAAAACTTACTTGAATAC